TACAACCTATTAGGGGTTATGCAGAATAGATCCCAAGTCTTTATGCAATTGAAGTTGTACTTTCTAAATTCCCAAAAAGGATGAAAGAGTTGCGTACCATAAATGAGCTGACAAAAGCATGAGAATGGGTTCCACGAAGTGGTATCCCGAATAACTTCCCAGCTGCAACATTACTGCCAAATATAACATAGAGATAAAAACAAGTTATTCCAGATCTTTACTCGGAACGACAAAAGGCTGCTGATTTTAAGTCAAATGAAATGAGATTCTTCCAGTTGTCCAATATCAGAAATGTGTGAATATGATTATATGACATATATAGAGAAGTAAAATGCTTTAGAAAACGCAAAACATAATCCAAAAGTATTGTTAAAAAAACAAAAATCACAATACTAATATGCCGCAGCTGAGTTTTCAATAGGCATTACCTTGTTGCATGAAATCCTCCCAGGTAACAGTACCTTGATGCCCCTATTCCCCCATCAGGTCCCTATATACCAAAACGAAGACATTTTTTTACTAAGATAATCCGACCACAGAACTTGGGAAAAACAAATCCAAAATGTGAAAAACCTGAACTTGTCACAGCCCAAGCATGTTCCAGATACCTGAGCCCGTCGAAGCCCAAACTCAAGTAGGTTCTTTGATTCTCCAGCAACAAAACGATGCCTTGCAGCATTCGTAGCAACTAAAGATGCATAATTAACAAGATTCAAAAACGGAGTTTCGAGCAATTGAACCACCTGCAACAATAAAACAAACGTAAAACAAAACACACAGCAAAACGACTAGAAGAACTGGCAACAACAACAATTAACCACAACAGTTTAAAGAAAGCCGAAAACAAAACTAGATTAACGGTTCTCACCGCAATTGGCCCTTCAACTCGAATCAGGGGAACCTTTGGAAAAACAACTGTACCCTCAGGAATGGCATACACTTTAACTTCTGAACAATCAACTCCTCTAAGATAGTCATAGAATCCATCCTACAGTTCACCATTGCAATTCGATTATTCGAGCTTTTGATACACATGCAAATCACAATTTCAAACTACAGAATGCAGTAAAATTTACAGTGAAAGTTTCACAAGTGATTTACCTCGCACGAAGAAGACAATGATTCGCGGACGAAGCCGATATCATCCTCAGTCAATTTGAAATTGGCAATGAATCTGATGCATTCTTCCAAACCGGCAAAGATTGTGTATTCGCCGCCGAAGGGGTTCTTCCGGAAATACAAATCAAACCTGTAACGGAAATAAATGTAAAGCTCTGTTTGGTTGCCGGGAAAGTTTAGAATTTTCCCGGGAAACAAACGGAGTGGGAAAGCAGAGAGAGAGAGAGAGAAGACTGACACAGCTTGTTCGTTGTGCTTGCCGGCTTTCCAGTAAGCGTAGGCCATGGTGAACTGGTAGAGATCCGTGAGCAGGGGGGTGACCATTGGATTGGTGGGGGGCGCAATGACCCGACCCGAATCAATCGGGCCGTTCGAATTCGCTTCCATTAGTATATTGGTTAGTTCTTGCTTCTGCTTCTGGTAAGATATATATGTATGTATATATGTCTACAGAGAGAAGCTAGAGAGAGGAGAGAGAGACCGCTATAAACGAGGAAGAAGGCGTTTTCTCGTACAATTCATCGAAACGCAGGAGACAGAGGAGAGACAGAGAGACAAGGGGTGTGTAGCTGACTTGTCGCTGGTTTTGTTAAACAGCTTCATAGACGAACCATATATACCTGGGAGGGGTAATGATGGTATAATATTTTTATTTTTTATTAAATAACTATACTTATTAGTTTTTATTAACACAAAATCTTACGTGATGAAATTTTATTAATATGATATAAAATTAAATTTCATTAACTAGCATGAAAAAAATTATGTTATACAAGGTAGTTTAGTAATCAAGTTAGTTTTAATTTCGATTCCAGAAAACTAGTAAACAAGTTATATGAAATCAATATCATTTTTACTCCGATTCCAGCTAGTATAGTCAATAACTTTAACATGAATATAATTTTGTTTCATTTTCAATCCAATTCCTCCTCAATCAGATTCCTCTTCAATTCAATTCCCTTCAATCTGATTACGGATTAGTAAACGTGCCCTTAGATTTTATGATCATCAGAACCCACAATCATGGTTTTGATGGGGAATAAGGACATGCACTTGAAAAGATGACAGATGCTGAGAGTCTTCAGGGACACAGAATTCAAGGGGCTTCGGTTCCGACTGCCTGCGCTTTCACGAAGACTACGCCATCAAACCCCAGAAATTATCGACCGAAAGCAAACCTATAATAAATAATTTTCTAACGCAAGTGACCTTTTACTGTAATAATAAAAAAAAATTGAGCTCTTTACGACGAGGTGAAATTAAATTTTGTTAGTGATTAAATTAATATCTAATATAATAAAATTTATCGTTTGACAAAAAAATAAAAGTAAAAACTCATGACTGACTTCGCTCCATCACTCAATCTCTTGGACAAAAAATCCATTAAATGTTTTGTTCTGTTTTATGGGCCTTTTTTGTTGTTTTTCGTCCTTATAATTAATAAAAATTCATTAAATGTTCTTGGTTAAAATGTTGTTTTGTGAGTGGCTTTTCGATAGAATTTTTTTATTTATTTTTATTTATTTTATATATATTTGTATAGATGAAGTCATAGAACTCTTAGGGTTCGGTGTGCTAAATGACTGGATCTCAGGGATATAATTGGATTGGCAATGACTTGTAAGACAGTACTTGTAACCCATGTATAAAAATATTTTAGATAACTTACCCTATTGTGGACTCAAATCCATCATGTTCATCATGTCTATCTCATATTTGACATAACAAACAACGGACTAGACTCAAATTCATTTTAATTGATCACAACCTGTTTCATCTGGCCCACCTAACAAGGCCTCATAGTTTTGAAATTCTCAAATAATCAGATTTCAAAAATATTGAATCTAGTATGAGTTTATGAAATTCCAAAATTACGATTCCTAAATCGGAAATGATATGTATTTCTTAAACTTTTTGGATTGAAATTGGAAACGTGTATTTGACCGAAAGTCAAGCCTTCGAGAATGGTTCAAATATAAAATTTTCAAATCACCTCAATTTTTGTTACGTTTCTAGAAAAGGCACTTACAAATATAAATGATTTCTCAAAAAACATTTCCAAGAGAAACTTGTGTAAGACTAGCCATCTCCATTTTTACGAAAGTAAAATGCTTTGATCTCCCTGTAAATTTGTTATATATAATTTCTTGATTATCAAGTAGTGTAGGGAAAATCTACTGCAGACAGTGTGTAATCGCCTAGTGATTCACATACTATCTCATTTTAAAATTGGTACAATTGTTCTAGTTCAGTATATTACGATATAATTGAGTTGGTATTAATTAAATAAGGAATTAACTTGGTTCTTTAATGATTGGGAATAAGTTCCTCTTGAATGCATTTTGTAGCCGATTCCTTGAAATTTTGCGCTTATGATTATAACTGTTTATATGGTAATCGCTTTGTAAAGATCATATTTGAAGAAAATTAATTAAATGTGAGATCGTTTGGTATTCCAATTGTAAAAAGAGAATGACAGATTTGGTAAAATAATTATGAACCGTCTATTTATTTTCTACAATTGATTGACAAACCAACCTTAGTTTTAATTGATTCTTTTTTGTAAACATAATATTTACATAGTGATTTATAATATGAACGATTCCTATCATAAACCTATAAATCGGTCACTAAGTGAATTGAGGAGGAACTCCTCAATCTTGAATAGCCAAGCCTTTCTCTAAATAATACTAGTGACAAAGTACTATTGTCTATAGATTTCTGCCATCCTTCCCTTCCATTTCTTAGGAACGCTGACAGACATAAATATTGTTATGTTTATCCCAAACAGTATAATACATAAATACGCAAGTGGTGGATTGCTGTAGTGCATAGAGTCTTCTTCTTCAATCTACTACGGGTTCAAACAGCCCCCTCTCTCTTTAGTATAAATTAGTATAAAATATTGCTTTTAATAATGATAAAAAAAAAATATATATATATATATAGATGTATTTGTTTTTTGTTTTTCCTAGCTAGTAACATAATAAATAGATTGGTTGGTTTCAATGAATCTGCTCCAGATTAACAAGTCAAGATAAGAATCTACTTAATGCCCTTAAATAGTTTTATTTCTTCCTTTTCTTTTTCCACCTCCTGAGAATAATTCCCATAGTCCAGCTGAGTTGAATCTTTAGACCAGAAAAAGGAGAAACAAAATGAAGATGAACTTGGTGAAAGTAATACCCTTGACTACCTTCAGCATTGAACTTTCCTTCGAAGTTGAAGACAAAACACAACGTACAAATTGGGTGGCAGCCTGTAGTAATACCTATTTATATGTGTCGTGTTCATGTCAACTCATTCATCGATAACATGCAAGTTAGTACAAAAATAATAGCAATATAATGCAATAACTTACACACTATTCATAAAAAATGAATAAAAGCTATCAACTTGTTAATATAATATTATATTCGTGTTGATTTCGAGTCTTGTTAACGTGTTGCATCCGAAACTTAGTTCTTAAAACTTTCTTGACCCTTGACTTGTATGAAATTTTTTCAGTCACCTGTGGAGAAATCCAAGTCAATTGTTGGAAATTCCAGTTTTCTTGTTCAACGTTTATTCCATCCCATTTGCTGGTAAACAGACCAAGAAAGAAAAATATAAGAAATATGGAAAGAGTTGTTCATTTCAAGCTAAAACCTGAAATTTCTCAGTGATCCACAGGTTTTAGCAAATTTTTTAACAATCGATAAAAAAAAAAAAATCGGTAATTTGTAACACCTCTACTCAGAAAGCTCGAAGATCCTGAGATCTCTACAGAAATCAAATATTATAAAGTAATGCCAAAGCAATGAAACAAAACACTACAAAGCTTGATGTTATGAACACAAATTTCATATAGTTCATATATAATGAACAGAGGGCGTGTAATCTTAGACATGACAGATGATTTATAATGTGACGAGGAGCATAATTTCCAAATAAAAGGAACCATAGAAAGAAGGGATAGATAGAGTTTACATGTGTCTCATCCCCACCTTACTATTTCTACCAATTACGTATCAAAAGCCTTGCCAAAAGCATTGAAGAGAAAACTCTTACGAATCACAGGTCTGCTATGAGGCATACGCATAATTCGAGCATGCAACTGAGGCTCTGAGAAATTTTGGAGAATTACATAAGCTGTTACAAGTTGTGGCTACACCAAATCCAAAATGTGTTAGGGTAGCCGAGCTTAACATGCATCACCTGTGCCTTCTTTCAGTTTTGATGGCATCGTTCGAGACCCTTCTTCCTGTGCGCATAGTAAATGCAAATTACATAGTGAAGGTACGGTGCACATAACCATGTGGAGAACGGATAAAACATCATATTGATCAAATGTACTTACTTATCAATGTGAAAGTATTGTTCTATAGTATTCAGGAGACCGCCTTCCTGCCTGTCCCTTCCTATGATGCGTGCATCAAACGTACCCTTCAGATCTGATACTCGTGCGTTAAAGGGAAGTGAATCAGTGGCTGTGCCTCCCAATTCAAAATTTTCAAACAAACAAAATACATGTTAGACCAACACTAGGATCCTGTGTGCATACTGTTCGAGTTATTTGAAAGGGCAACTGTAGGATCATCGACCCACCTGAAAGATTCATCTCCGAACGATTTACATTAATTTGTTGGTGCTGCAAAAGGTCCTCCCTGCAGATTTCCTTCATATGGAAAATAATGTAAAAAGGTTAATATTGTTGGCTTAGTTCGGTATGCATTATTTACACAGCGATAATTTACCTGAGATGAGGCTGGCAGTTGAAAGGGTCTCAAGTGAGCCTTAATTGACGGTTCCAACCCAAACGACGTTTCTGAATTAACTACATTTGACATGTCTGGTACATATGACTCGTTTGCAGCGGTGCATTGGTTGGATAAATTGAACAAATTTGTCATGTCCAAATGCAGAGGCCTAATTTCCTCACCAAGCCCCATTCTCATTTGCGAGGGCTGTACAGGTTGCAGAGTTCCAGGTAGGCACAAAGAATGTAGACTCATACCATTTCTCATTGATAACATCTGAAGTACAAATCACAAAGTAAATCAATCAAAACCAAGTTCTTGATTTTCATCAGTGCTAGGCAAGTTTCAACCAGAACCATAAGATTCTTCAAACAGTGCACAAACCGCAGTCACTGTTGCAAAGCTAAAAGCTGACCTATTTCATTCAACATTAGGGCTCCTCATCGGGTTCAAGGCTGACAAAAGCTAACCATAGAAGAATAAAAGATCTTAAATGTTATCTGAGAACAGACTTATCATAAGAGTGAGACTGCTAAAACTTTGATTTTAGTCTGACCACGTCATTGAATCACATCTACCAATTGTTATCTCGTAGAGGGTCAAATTCAATTATTCCTCGCCAAAATTAATAGGGAAACATTTTGGAAAGCAGAGCAGCAAGAAGTTGTGCGACAACCTGACTCTCTTTGGCTCTTTGCTCCAGTATAGGATCCTCCTTATCCCCCTAGGTGCATGCACATGGTTGAATCATGCAAATCATATTTGAGTTTTCCTATCTCTTTCTCAATTTCATGATAAAACCAGCAACAAAGGTCTTACCTTGGCATTTCATTGAATGGGGAATGCAATGTGTGGACTCAACATAAGGGATACTAGAATTAACATGAGACACGAGACAACTATGAAGAGCACTTGAAGCTTCACCGGAAACTAAGAGCAAGAACGAAAGCTAATACCTGAACTTGAAGCTGAAGCTGCTTGAGGTACTCAATGGCTTCATCAAGCATAGAAGCTTTGTCCGTCTGCCCACATTAACAAGATGAACCGTCAACCCAATAATCAAAACGACTCACACACAAGAGAACAAAAATCAAGCATCTTGGTGTGTCTAGCTTGCCTTGTTAGAATTTGGGATCAGATTTTGCAATGCCTTCATTTTCTCGTTGATCCTACTCCTCCTCCTCTGCCCAAACAAACGGAATGGCATCAAAAATCACCAAAGAACACGATTTTGTCACGGAAAAAAACAAAACAGATACCAGAAATTTGCATATTAATTCAAGTAAGAGGCTTTCAGATTATAAACCAACCTTTTCAGACAAATTATGAACTTCTGCAGCTCTGCTTCTCTTTGAAGAACTCCGTCCCCCACCTGACTTCGCTTCCACAAACGCTTCAAGACCCTCCTAAATTTACAATTCCTCAACATATTATTCAACTTAAAAGATTCACATTAACTCACGCTAAGACCATCTCCAACTCTGGGCTAAAAGCCAAATTACCTCCCAAATTACCCCCCAAACACTCTCCAACCATGCTAAAATTTTAGGCTAAATGCCAAATGCTATTTCTGGGCCAAATACCCCCAGCTTTCCCCCCGGGCTAAATGCGAAATGTTTATCGGAATTTAAATTTTTTTAGATTAAAATGTTCATAAAATTAATTTACAATAATCAACATATTTATTTAAAAAAAAAATTGATTTAAGAAAAAAATTTAGGCTAATTTCATTCTTTAATAATTCCGGACTAAAATTTTAGGGTAAAAGGGTTGGAGCAGAAAACATGTTTCTGGGCTAAAAGCTAAATTTTCCGGGCTAAAAAATTTAGCTTTTAGTCCAAAGGTTGGAGATGGTCTAACAAAAGAAAAAAATGGGAAATTAAAAATATCCAAAATCTTTTTTTTTTATCTTCTTAATTACAGCTTACTGTTTCAGTCAAAACACCGTCCTTTTCCTTTCCTTCATTTTCTTACCAACCAAACGGACCACAAAGAAAATAGTATCAACTCTAAGGGATCAAAAACTTCAACTAACCAAGTAAGGCATGAAATGAAAGTCCATTAATTTTAAATAATCTTATTTTCTTGCACTTTCCCTACATTTTCTCAGCAACCAAACACACCTTACTAAAAATATATATTAAAAAATCAGAACTTTACAAAATTCCAACTCTCAGAAGAGCAAAGTACCTCGCTTTCACAGTCATACTCGTCGGCCTCGTTCTCACTCGCCCCCAACGAAGACGACGACACATTGGGATTACCGGCGGACACAAACGCGGAGGAAGAATCAATGGCCGTGATCTCGTCCCCGAAGAAACCAGAGTGGCACGGATGCTCGAGATTACCAGGCAGAAGAGCACCAACGGACGGCGAGGGCGAAAACAAAAACTGCGGGGCCTTCCCGGGCTGGGCCACAACGGAGGCCAAAGAACTAGACGAGCGCACCAAAATCTGCTGCAGAAAAAGCGACATGTCGTCGGGGGCCGAATGCGGCTGAGCAGCTTGAGAAGAAGAAGAAGAACAAGTGGCATTTTTGTAATACCGATCATATTCGTAAGGGTCCCCCATTGCTGCAAATTTTGCTCTGTGTTTTTTGTGTTGTTTTGGATTTAAGCTTTTGTGGGGTTGAAATTTTTTATGATATTACTTTGTTGCGTCTGGGAGCGTGGCGGAGTGGGCGGGTTTACGTTTGTCTGCAGATTAAACTAAACTTAATTAAACTAAATTAAATTAAAATTTAAGAAAAACTAATAAAAAAAATTTAAAAATTTTGAAATTTAATAAAAAAACAAAAATATGTTGTAAGTAAACAGTATCAAGAATGATTTTTCAAAGTAAAAATATCATTTTTCATTAAAGTAAACAGAACAGAAATTCTTTGTTAAAACTTTCTAAAATTTAATTAAAATAAACAATACATGAGTGCTTTGTTAAAACTTTTTAAAATTTAATTAAGGGAGATAAGTGAAGAGAAGTCGCACTCACTGTTGCACGTGAGGGGCACCGACTGACGGAGTACTCGTAGTAGTGGTAGTGTAAGTACCGTTTCTGCAATTAAATTAAACCTGTTGCATAGCTTTCTGAGTATTCTGACTCTTTCCCTCCGTAATCCGTATACAGTTTATGAAATAAATTATAATAATTAATTGGTAGTCTCTTTGCGTGTTCTTCGTTTCAGTTGTAGGAAACCATAAAAATGGAACCAAATTTTTGTAAGTTTAACTGTAAACATGGGAGGTAGGTGTATTTACACATCGAGATTGTCTCAGTCTAGGACTAAATGAGCCAAATTTGATGGTTAATCACTTCATTGCATAAGTTACACCAGAGTATACAAGAATTTTTGAACCGTAAATTCTTTTACTTAAAGATAATTCACTTGAAGAGATTGTAAATCAAACCAAAACTTGAAATTTATAATTATTTCAGTTTTCGCTCATTATTCTTATTCATCACCTTTTTCATTTACGTTACTGAGTTTTACACCACAAAATATGTCATAGCGAAAAAAAAAAACTTCAAATTGATTATAATTCCGTTTTTCTTTCATTGCTAGGAACTTATCAATTTAATTTTCCTTGGATTCTAGCCAATGTTGTAATGTATTTGCAATTTGACAAAGTTGCCAAAGGCCTTTAAAAAAGAGAGAAAGTAAGAAGAACTCGTTGTCAAATGTCAATGCATGTCAGGCAAAAATGGAAGTACAACCCGAAAGACACAACACTGCAGGTCAGCAGTGTTGTGTTCTCTTGAGTAATCGCCACTCATCAAGGCTATCGTGACCTTTGAGGGTAAAGGATCGCAAGTACATGGACAAGTCTAAATTGGATTTCGACCCAAATAGAATGCTGCGAATTTCTTGAGTGCTTTTGTTCACTCCCTAAATATGCAGCTACTCGCAAAATCCACTATATTTTAAACTATCATTAATCATATTTTCAAATAACAAATCAATATTAGAAGTTGCAGAATTAGAACTAAAAACTTATAAAAGTACTAGGAGGATCCTATCCGAATCCACTTTGTGAGGATCCTGAGAATCCTTAAATCGTATCCGTTCATCGTATATCGTACGAACAATTTTCATCTGATACTACTATTCATATTTAATTTAAAATAAAAGTATTTAAAATGATTTCTGACCGCACGATGTACGATGAACGGACACGATTTGAGGATTCCCAGGATCGTCATTCACAAAAGTAAATGTATATGGATATATGTTTCAGTTTTTCTATAAGAGTATGTCTCACTCAATGGTTCGAGTTTTGTGTAAGTTTTAATCGTGGTAAACATTCATTATTTCTGTATGCAAGATTTAACATGTTGATGCACAAAATCGGAGGTCTTGGAATAACGTAAATCCGACCGTGAATCTGCAAGTAATGTAAATAACACAAGATATATCGTGGTTCACCCCAAAGTTTGGGCTACGTCCACACTGATTGTATTGTATTTCTCTGAGAAGTGAGGGAGAGAGAGAGCTCTGAGAGTGAGAGCGTTGGGAGGGTGAGGAGCCTTAGGAATTGGCCTCCCCTAATTGTGAGGGTGAGGGGTCCTTTTATAGAATAAGGACTCTTCACTTATTACATATTTGCCCCTTCCTTTATCACATAATTACAATTAAGTCCCTCAAGTATTTGTACGAGGTTTAAATACGAGGCCCTAAATATGGTATAAACAGTAGTCCCCCAAGTCTTCAATCAAGAGAGTCTTTTGGCTGGAGACTTGAAATTCAGTCCATATGTGGGCCGAAGTAACTAGATGTTGCCTTGAACTGATGCTTGATATGAGGCGGTGCTCAATCAGAAATGATGTTTCAACTAGAAGTAGCACATACTGCTCGGCTGCTCGGCTCGTGGCTTATGTTGCCTTGGTTGGCTCGGCTTGTGGCGTTGGAAGTGAGGGAGTCCCTTTTATAGAATAAGGGCTCGCTCCTTAATACATAAATGATGGGCTAGAGTCGATGCTCGTAGCGAGACGGTTGCTCAGCTAGCGGCGTTGCTTTCTAATGAAGGTGAGGGAGTCCCTTTTATAAAATAAGGTCTCGCTCCTCAATACATAAATGATGGGCTAGAGTCCCCCAAGTACTTTTCATGAGGCCCAGTTGAGGCCCCAATATATGGTACATAATGTAGTCCCCAAAGTCTTCAGTCAATAGAATCTGTTGGCTGGAGATTTCAAATTGAATCCATGTATGGGCTGAAGTGGCTATGGTTCGGAGGCGGTATTTGTATACCCTGCACTGAAGCTTTGTAAGTGAAGCTTTGAAGCTGGAGTTCTGTAAATGAATCTTTTGAAGCTAGAGCTTTTGTAAATGAAGCTTTTGAAGCTATTTGACATGAGTGATGCTTATGAATGTTTGATTAACATGAGTGATGCTCATGAATGTTTATGTATGATTGATATGAGTGATGCTCATGAATGTTTGTGTATAATTGACATAAGTGATGCTCATGTATAATATGAAGTACTGGGCGTACTTTTGATCATCTGGTTGGTGGCATGAATGGGAGTACATGTTGTACATTTCATCACCTGGTTGGTGGTAATAGCGGCGGGTTGCTGAATAATTTTGGAATACTGGGCGTACTTTTGGTCACCTGGTTGGTGGTAATAGCGGCGGGTTGCCGAATAATTGTGGAGTACTGGGCGTACTTTTAGTCACCTGGTTGGTGGTAATAGCGGCGGGTTGCCGAATAATTGTGGAATACTGGGCGTACTTTTGATGACCTGGTTTGTGCTATTTTGGGCTTATGGGCCTTCGCCCTCTACACAACATTCCAGCCCATTTATTTTGGGTTTTGCTGTTTTTTTTTTTACCCTCTGATGGGGTTTATACAGATGTCTCCGAAAGATATGAAAAATAAATTACATCATACAAAAAACAAGAAAAGTAAACCACATCATTCTGGTGAGGTGTTTATTCCTTGCTTTTGCTTTCTCTTTTCCACCGCACTCTTTGTCTCTTCACCTGGCAGACAAAAAGAATCATGATAGAATAATAATAGGAAGCTTTATCTTTTTCCTCTCTACTGTCGGTCTGGGTGAAGTTTATGGCTTCCTTTGGAAATAATTGTTGACTGCATAGCTGTATCCACAATAGTAGTGTTGACTGCATAGCTGTGAGAGTCTTTGATTCAGTAAAGTAATATGTTTTCCTTACCAACACAAAAGCGGAGAAAGTGACGTGCTGGAGGAAAGCCCTCATCTTTTCCTCATCAACACAACCCGTTTCAACTTTTTCACCATCACTCCCATTTTTCTTTTTCTCTTTCTTTCGCGTTGTCTGCCATGTAAGCATATGACCCCTCCATGACTGCACCATTTTTTCTTTACATAGTTTTCAAAAGCAGCTGATGATTAAAGTCTTCAAAATATGCCTTCAAAATGAATATGTCTTGCCAGTGCGTTGAATATGTTCTGCACCAGCAACTGCACTAGAGCGTTGAATATGTTTTGCACCAGAGCGTTCAAAATAGGACCCCAACAACTGCACCAGATCTTTGAATATGTTCTGCCAGTTCTGGTCACTAAATGAATTTGTCTTCAAAATATCCCAAATACAGCTCGCCGACAGACTGCCCAAACCGTAGCCAAATCTATATCGTCCCTGGAGTTTCCGAACTCGTCAGGGTCCAGATCCGGAGAGTCAAAGTCTCCGCCGCATCTTTTTTTTCTTCTGGAGTGATGACAAGATATCCACATTTAGGGCGTTGCCAAGGAGGACTTAGAACTGCCTCTACAGTGGCCTGAACTTTGACTGTAGAACCATTTCTTGCCTCAATAACAGAGCTCTGACCAGGTTATTGCTAAAAAGGGGATCCAAAAAGGCCTTAGCATTTGGTGTAGCTACTACTCTAAGATTCAGGTACTTCTCAAAGAGGATCTTTAACGTCTTCAAAAGGTAGTGATATCAAGGCTTTGGGTAATAAGCAAGCAATCAACTTTTGGAATATCACTTAGCTGGAAGTCGAAAGCTTTAATTGTTTGGGGGTTGCACGGATGGGAATAGCGGTGAAAGGAGAGAGTCATGAGAGTGAGCCGCTGCCGAGTTTGAGAAGTCCAGCCGTTCCGACGAACAAGCCTTCGGACATCACTCTCGAAAATTACGCTTCTACTAATGGCTGCGCCAGATCCGTTGCCTTGATGGTGGTGAAGGTGTCGAAGTCGTCCTCCAATTTCTGCTGCAACTTGGAGGAGGAGGAGACACCGTCGTTGGGGTCGACGAAGCCCTAATCGGCGCTATAGAGGATGCTGGTGGGTCGCACGTGGAGGGGGACGATAGAGTCCCCGGGCCGAAGATATCCTGATTGCATTTTTTTCTTCTGCAATAAATGATGGGCTCGTACGGACATCGAGGGTTGCAGCCGCTGAGATGGTGGAAGATAGGCCGTGCATCCCTTGCGCAATTGTTTTCAGACAAAGACCATTCGTTTCTTGAGACTCAAGGTCTTCAAAAGAGGAAATTATTAGAGAGATAGAGATTTGGTTTCTTGGGTTTTGCAGATCCACGGTGGACATTGTGGTAAGGTTTCACGGTGGTGAACTGAAAAAATGAAAGAGAACTGACATAGCTTTTCGTGTCGTTTCCCACAGAAGGCGCCAAATGTTGATGCACAAAATCAAAGGTCTTGGAACAACGTAAATCC